GGGGAGTTGCAGCTTCTCAAGTGCTTTCACCTCAGGGTCACTGGTTCAAACTCAGCCTGGGGGTAGGGAGCACCATAAGTGGATGTTGTTCCTGACGGATGTGCAAGGGAGGAGGATTTAGGAGAAACTGGTCTGGGGTGTTTTCAAGCTGGCAATTTCAGAGCAACAGACGTCCCTGTTAGAGCTAATTAGCAGCCTTGGTTTGGTGAGCAAGGGGTCGAACAAACCACGAGGCTGCTGGTGGAGCAGCCTTGGCTGCCAGCAGGCCGGGGCTGAGGCTCCTGACTGGGCTGTGGGCATTTTCAGACTCCCTGACGGAGACTAAGGTATAAAGACAGAGCTTTTGGGCTCTCCAAATCCCCTGCACCTCCAAGCAGATGCTGAGCTGAGCCTCGTGTTCCACTCCTGCATTCCCTGATGACCCATTCCTGAAGCTTCACACCCGACTCGCTGGGTGGTGGGAGGGAGTCTGGTGTCCCATTCCACGGACAAGCAGTGCTGCGGTTCCTCATGCTTCCAGCCCGGCTGTTTGCAACTGCTGGATTTGCTTCCGAATCTCCAAAGGGAGTCCTTTCATAGGGCACCTAACCAGATTTGGGCTCAGATCTAACTGCATACCAAAATCTGCAAACAGCTGCAAAAAAAAAAAAAAAAAAAAAGGGCTAAAAACACCCCCTCATGACTCTTCCAGTAGCTGCAGACTTGAGGAAACACCTTCTCTCCTTCCAAACAGGCTGCTCTGCCTTGTAACCTCTCTCATGACAGGAGCCATGAGCCCCTCTCCTGCCCTGGCAGAAGAGGCTTAATGCTCCTGAGAAGTGGGTGACAATGGGGCCTCCAAAGCTCAGCTGATCAGGGATGGTTTGGGACTGGCTCCTGGCAGAGAAACCCCTTCTCTTTGTGTGTGAGAGGATTTCATAGAGGAGTGGGAGAGGGGCACAGGCTGAGAACTTGGCACCTGAGATCCAGGGATCTCCTGGCACTGGGATCCCTGGAAAAACTCAGCAAAGCCCTGGCTCATTGAGGGGGGATAGAGAGCAGCCTGGTGACAACCACGGTCCCACTGTTCAACGAGCTTTTGGCTGCAGCAGATGGAGCCAGACGAGTCTGGAGAGCAGGGGCAGGACCCCGTCTGTCAGCGCCCTGTGCCCTGGACACACAGCACTGCATTTACCCAGGTTTGACATCGATTCCTGCTTGCAGCTGCCAGGGCCCTGGCAAAACTCTGTGGTCTCACATCTCTCCCTCTTCCACCTACCCCTCACTTGGAAGGGTCATGAAACGGCCTCTTTCCTCCCCGAAGAGGGGAGTGGGTGCCAGTTTTTTGCCGGGTGAAGGTGATTTCCACACCTGTTTGACTTTGGGTCTGTCCCCCTCAGCTTTTCCCATAGGACAGATCCCTGTCACCCCCGTGGCAGCAGCAGGAATCGCCTCCACCACATCCCCCTCCCGCTCCCACCCTCCTCATTTTTCAGCCCAGCTTTGCTTGAAACAATGGCCCAGCCTCAGAGCCAGGAACGCTGTGCAGCGCTGAGCGGGGCCTCCTTCCCAATTCATCACTAATGCAGGAACGCCAAGCCCTTCCTGGCTGCAGTGAGCACGAGATAAAAGCTAAAAGAGGCATCAATAATTAAAAACCACTCAAAGCCGGTAAGTGCAAACAGGAGCCAACGTACAGATCGAAGGCAGCGCCAGAGACGAGTCTGTCAGCTGCTGGGCTGCTCTAAGGACTCCCACATCTCTCCTGCGGGCCTGCAGCCCTGCGGTGACGAGGTGTCCCTGGCACCGCGGAGCGGGGGCTGCGGGTGGGAACACATCGGTGCTGCAACGTGCCGGGGGGCCCTGCCCGGGCAGAGTGGGAGAAACCCCCCAGATCCCCAGGCTCCTGCCTGTGGTTTGCCTTGCAGATGCCCTGGGGACACGTGG